TTTTGAGATTGCTAAAATTAGACTTAAGAGATTAACTTGAAGGTTCCAGAACAGTTCTATGACAGACTTCGCAAAATAATTAATATATTAATATGAATATTAAAAGAAGGAATTTCCGAAAGGACTAACATTGAAATAATAATATATTCTCAACTATTTAACTATTTCATTATTGTAATATTTCTTGTTGTTATTTTAAAGAAACTCTATTCAATTCATAGCCAAAGATGCGTCCAGACAAACTGTAATTGCTGTTTAAATTTCGCCGAAATCGGATTACATTTACAGCTGATATCGAGCGAGTGTTCTTGAAAATTTCTCTTGCTGGTGAAGACAAAAACGCAGTTAAGTTTCTAAGAAACGATGGTGAATTAAATGAAACCAAAATAAAGGCTCATCGAATAACAAGAGTGATTTTTGGAGAAACACCTAGCGCGTTTCTTCTCAGAGAAACTCTTGGTGTAGACGCTCAGAAATACAAGTCACTGCAAACGAACATACTTTTCCAGGTTAACTGAAAATATGTATGCTGACGACTTAATCACTGGAGCCGATAAAGAATCAGAAGCATTCAATGAATCAGAACATATGAAATGCATGTCGAAGGTGGTTATCAGAACATATTAAATGCATGTCGAAGGTCGATATTAAGGTGGTTTAACATGCGAACGTGGAAAACAAACGAAGCGAAATTACAAAAGGCTATGGAATGAAGAAGATTTACATGCATACAGGGTTATACATAAAATAGGTCAAACGATACATTTTTGACAGGAATTGAAGATTTAGTAAGTGATGCCAAAAGGATAGATACCATACCAACTGAAAGAGAAGTTAAGATTTCTAGGACTTTAATCCACTGAGATTTTTGCATACAACTCGAGATAGGATTTATTGCAAGATTTATAGGAACAAAAATTACCATGGGATACTGAAATACCAGAAGAACTCATAAAGAATTGGCGAAGCTGATGCGATGAATTAGATCATATTCCTAGTCTGGAAATACCAAAGCATGATTTTGCAGGAGCTGGGAAAAGAGATATGAAGGTTGCTTTACAGTTACACTGTTTTACAAATGCGAGTCAAAAGATGTATGGAGCTATACTGTATTTTCGTTATTCAAAAAGTGCAACCATCCACACAAGTTCATTACATCAAAATCACGAGAAACATCTTAAAAGAAATTATTACTACTCAGACCGGAATCGATAGAGGATTTGAAAGACTCCCACTTCTCAAAATATATCCAAAAGAAACGTCAGGACATCGAATTTAATTGCGTATTTACAGACTGATTGTAATATAGCATTACACTGGATTCGAAGTAATGTGAAAGGAATGGAAGCCATTTGTGAAAAACAGAGTAAGGGAACAAACAGTAACAAAATAATTCAGATATGCTAATTTGGAGATATAATTTTGGTGAAACTAATTCAGCTGATTTGATACCTAAAAGTCAAAATTTTAAAAATCTGAAATTCCAATCTGTCTGGACATCATGAAGCAAAGTAGCATATGGTGGAAGAGGCCGACGTAATTAAAAGAAGAATGGAAGACCAGCCAAAACTGAACGTACGCTCCATGAATAACTCTGAAGATTCCAACAAGGAAATGAGAAAAGCACGGAAGGAAATCTCTGTAAAATTCATGCGTTACAGAACCTTCCGGAGATTTGTTTAAACTTCAAAATTATAGCAATTGACATCGAATTCACCGAATTACTGCATGGTGCTTAAGTTTATTAACAGTGTTAGAAATACCTTGAAATTATCCAGATGTTTGAAGGTTACCGAAGTTTCAATGGTGGAAACTTATTGGATCAAACATATTAGGAAGCAAAATTTCAAAGATGAAATTCGTGCATTAAAAGAAAATCGTTATATTGAATTCTGAACCTTTAAAATTAAGTTACTCAGATCTATTAGAATCATCTTTAGATCCTAGACACTTTTTATAAGGAAGTTGGCTATTATCCTTGCCACAGGAAAGCTTTAAACTGACTTTGAAAAAAGGATAGTCTTGCATATCGATTTAGACATCAACAGATATTGACACAGCGAATTTGGAAAAAATGGAGACGAGATTGTTTGATGAAGCTAACACCTGCTCATTATTTCAAATAGGTAAAAGAATACCTATTTGAAAGAAGAAACTTTTGTGTTAGTAAAGGAAGATAAGATGCCAAGGTTGATGTGAAAGATGGGTATGATAATGAAGATCTTTCCAGGACAACATGTTATAAAGTTAAAGCCAGTGCTGTTCGTTTGCCTAATGGTAACGTTATAAAAAGACCAGTTCCTCTGTTTTACCCAGCGGAACTAGAATGCAGCAAGGATAATTCCAGCAATTGTCCTTCCGGTGCAGAAGATGTAGCGATTCAAGGTGTCTTATTTGAGATGTCATCATGACAGAGTGATACATTTGATCTATGTAGTCACATGGCAGATGACTCGAGATCTCGGAAGGAGCGTAAAGACGTGCACGCTGGATCATGTTTGATTATTTAAATTTTCCACTGAGACGTTCTTAATGCCTTATATAACTAATGTATCCGTTAACATTAACGTATATTTCATTCATTAAAATGCATTTGTTCAAAAGATATGCTAATCATTTGGATTGATGTTCCTTGAAGGATTAGCTTAAAGATGCAGATCGCCTAGTGGTCTTGTAGAGTCATTAGATTAATTGGAAGCAGAAAAGATGAAAAATATGCAACTGCCTTCGCCGGGAATCGAACCACGGACCTCTGGAATACCGGCCCAGCGTGCAGAACCACTACACCACGAAAGCACGCTAGGGAAAGTAGGAGAAATACCTTATAGTCTTCGCAAAGAAAAAAAAAACCCCGCGGAAAAGCAGGAAGGCATTTTTAAAGTTTTTTTAAAATCTTTGATTTAATTTAAAATACCACAGCTCCTATTTTCTAATTCTAATATGCAATTCTTACCTAGATGACAACGACTTACACCTCTTTTCAATTACATAAATGCACTTATCTCTGTGGAGCACATACTTGCGGCTATTATTGCAGCTCTAGCAGCAGGAATTGTTGTTTATAATTTATGTATATTGTTTTCATGCAGTTTGGACCATATAGTGCATATAGCTTCCAATTTATTTGTGCAGTACTTGTGTATGCTTTTATATTCATCAGCTAAATAAGTTAACTTGCAAGTAAAAAAACTTACTTTACAGAATTGAGATGTTACTATATGCGTAATTTAACCCTCCAAAAATTTGTTTTTTTATCAGCGAATGTGTATTTTCTTTAGCATTTCCTGAAGGGTAGCTACTTTGCTTTTGATTAGGTATGCTTTCATTGGGGTAACTGGTTTTCATCAGGACTTGCACAATGTATTTCTGTTCGTTTCTTATTTAGCACTTGTTATATTTTCCAGAACTTCAGGAAATTTTTGAAAACTTAAATAAGGAAATATTAGAAAGAATTTTTTTTAATTTAAGAAAAACAAAGTTTTAAACAAGAAGCATGAAGATAAGCGTGGAAAAAATTAATGAATTATTTTAAGTTAAGAGACGTTCAAACACGGAGTTGTAATTTTTTAAATTCATAAGTTAAAAATTTTTATCTAATGTGAAATAAACAAAATTATCTTTAGTAAGCGTAACATTATCATATTTGATATTTCATTTCATATTTTGTCCACCTGACTAATCGCTTTGCTTTGAATGCTAAAACGGTTGTACGAACATCATAAACGGTAAACAAACTGTTTGATGTCACATAATATTCCAAAAGTACATCATGAAATGTTTCAAATGTGCATGAGATTACAGAGTGTGAATGAAATTTAGGGCCTTGCGATTTTCCAAAATACTCCTACTTTCGATTTATGAAGTATTTTAAATTCCCAAGCCGTATTATCAATATCTATTAAAGCGAAGTGCTGGGCGCAGAAGTAAAATGTTTGGTTTGTGAGTAAAATGCATTATAGGAAGTATCTGCATCTGGAAGTATGAGCGCGAAGACGCACTCATTAACATAGTAATTGGCCCTGATAATTAATTGTAATTTGAAGGACAATGAATACATCACAAGTGTAATACCGTTACGGATTTGTATCTTTAATTGTTTGATATGTTACTTCGAAGGTTATTCTGCCTTTAAAGTTAGGTTGGATGAGCAAACAAAAATTCGATATGCATTTCTAATATTATGGAACTAAACAAATACATTTGTCTTCCATTCAAAGCCCGGTAATAAATGCTGTAGAGAATAAATTTTACTAGAGAAAAAATGACAGAAAATAAAACTTTCTATTGAATAATTACTTTCAGATAAATATCACATTTTAAAGATACAAAGCATACCCTTTAAAATAAGTGAAATGAAATATTTTTGTTTAAATCGTTACTGATTTAAAATGATAAAATCACCACGAAACTGGTTCAGTCATTCAGTCTAGAATATTTCAGAATACGACCGTAATTTAAGATGAAATACGTGCCTAAGATCCAGGTAATAATGTATAGTTTATAATACAGAGCAAAGACTTTTAGTTATAATTGTTAAGAAAAGGTATGAGGAATATTTTCAAATATTACTGTAAAAACTTTTAAACTTGAGGAAACGTGTACCAGCTTGTTGCTAGAAAGCGAGCAAATGATAATTGGGTAAAGAAGCACATGAGGTTTTCAATCAGTTACATTAAATAATATAATTATCATCTGGAGAGATTTAAGAAATGTATGAAACAGATATATTTTAATAGATGATAGATAAACAGATATATTTGTTTTATTGATTAATGGTAAACGTAGCGAAACATAACGTGAAGGAAAGAAGTGAAAGAATAGAGTATAGATGTTTCTAACGTCAAAAATTGAAAAAGTATATTTTTGGTAAACTACGGAATTCAAAATACTTTACTATTTCCGAATTCTATAACTTGCAAAAGAATAAATATAAACATGAACTCAATAAAACTGAAAATTTACGTATATACTCAACACAAACTCAAAAAATATTTACTTACCTTTTTCATAGAAACAACCTAAGATCTCAAATCGCAGACTGACGCTAGATTTGGATTGCGTTGGCTTTATTCTCAAAAATCTTGTAAATATTGGATACGGGAACAAATTTGTAACGGGAGATTCGTTGTCAAAATTTCCTTTGAATTCCTATAAAATATAAAATTGTAATAATATGTTAATAATATACATTTATAGTAACTATTAAGGGATTAGATCTATAATTGTAATGTATAAAACATGTGCAGGAAAAAATCCTTATAAAATTGAAAAAATATATGTAGTAATCGCAATTCTACAGAATAATACTTAGTTGCCTCAAAACAATGCAATTCAAATGCAAATTATTCTTAAATTTTTGTTAATAAACAACAAAAAGTTATGATTGATGATCTGTGAAGTATATGAGCATCTACTATTATTCAAAAAACAGGATTCTATTTTTTTAAATGTTCTCTAAATTCGTGCTCAAATGTCTTTAGTTATATAGGAATTATCGTTAGTAATCAATGAAGTCTTTATCGAACATCTCCGGAAATGTTACACTTTAAAATATGATTTTTTTTCTGTTTTTAATGATTAAAATATAACTTATAGTACAAATGTGTAATTCAATGTAATGCGTACTTTAATGACTAAAATGTAATATATATTTTAAAAACTGTTGAAACGGACTTGAATAAATAAGTTCGCTCTTGAAGGTTTATAAAAATATTTCACTTTACAGCATGACTGGTTTTTAATGGATTCAAATATAACACTGCGAAAAAAAAGAGGGACAGTTCTGTATCTTCCGTTTTACTGGGCCGATTGAGGAAATTTAAATTGCCTTTCTTACGTTTCGATAGCGCGATTCATGATATATATTAGATTTATATATAGCATTTGTTCTAATATAGGTATTGTGACACAAAATCGAACATTTTCTGAAATAATATGGCAATGTTTTCCATATTTCGATTCTACTACTAAACGTATGCCAAAATATTAAATTTTGTAAAATTTGGTGCGAAACGTACGGAGAGATTCAAAAATTTATTTTGGTCCCCCCTTAATATAAGGCAACCTATTTTCCATACCCTTTTTTACATTGTGCATAAGCAGTAAAAAAGTCACATCATTCTTACTTTCAAATAAATTTTAAAAAGTGCCTAAATCACATTTCATGTTATTATCGGTTTCAACAAGTATGCCAAATTTCAAAACGCGCCAATATTCACGCATATCTTCGGAAATTTTGAATTAAAAAACTCTAATATTTTGCAGGTATGCCTAAAAATACATCTACTTTTAAACGATGGTAAAACTTTTATAGATTATAATTCAAAATTTGTTTCGAAAAAATTATAAAAATTATTTTAAAATTCAAATATTAAAAATAAATCATAAAAAATGGGCGAAAGTTTTTGGAATGAACCTAAAAATATGAAATTCGAAATGTGAAAGGAATAATCAAATAAGTTTAATAAAAAACGAGATTAATAAATGTATATCAAATTCAATAAACATTGAGGAGCTAATTTTTTAAAAACTTCTCGTGCGGTTTTTACAAAACTCGGCAGTTTGGCATAACTTGAGCCGTATAATCGAAATATGGAAAAACAAAGGGCATGTCATTTCAGAAAAAGTCCGATTTTGTATCAAAATACCTATATTAAAACAATGCTTTATATAAATCTAATAATACATATATTAAGTCGCGCTTTCCGAGACATGAAAAACGCAAGTTGAGTTTTGTCAGTCAACACAGTTGAACGGCAGATATAAAACTGTCACAATTTCTTTTCGCAGTGTAAATTTTATTAACAGGTATTCTTGTTCATAACGATTTATATAAAGAATTAGAAGGCTTTTTATAATATCATGTGTCATGATATTATAGAGCATGGTACTCAAACTGATTATATAGAATTCGCTATCTTATTTTAAGAAATATTTTAATTGGCAGTATACGCCTAGGAATACTATTCAGGGAAAACAATTTCTTTTCGAACATCTTATACATTGCTTTAGTCACGTCCATGCTGTTAAGTAAATAGATGCTTTCCAAGAATGTGCTGCGATTTGTGATTTCTGATCATTATTAACACATATATTTAATATACTCTTCTGCATTATATACCAATTAATCATTCAGGGTCCTGTTAGACATTTATCTCCTTAAGCTATATGAAGTCATAATGTCTTATATCTTTCTTGGCATTTGCAGTTTTGAATTATAACATATTTTATTCTCACTTAATTTTTAAAATACCTTTTTAACATTCATAACTTGAGATTAAGCATTACGAATATCTTTACAATATTGTTAAGACTATGAATATTAGGCTTACAAAATATAAGGTATTTTTCTACCTCCTTACTGCTTGTCTTCGTAGTGTAATTGGAAGCAAGTTCGACTGAGGAGCGGTAGGTCCGGAGTTCGAATCCCAGTAAGAACAGTTCACATTATCTCAACTTTTCTGTCTTCTAATCAAATCTAATAATCTTTGCAAATTTCCATAGCCTCAGGAGTAAATTTACAGATTATGTGACTTTAATAAAACCGTTAAACCGCTTTTTGAAACTCATAATCCCGAGTTTAAATCCTATTTTATTCACAGTGACTTTTTTTCTTGCATCCTTTCAGTTTACAATTTCGATTAAACTGAATTTTATGAATTTCTAATTCATATTTAAATTAAATATTGTTAAATCATTATCTATAAATAATCGTAGTCTTTCTCACACATACTTAATTTTAATATTTTTAAGTATTTAATCCAAACTAACAGCCTTTCTTTTCTATTCATATATATTCTCTCTCTCTCTCTATATATATATGCATATATAGGCGGTTATTTATTTCGTTGTAGATAACTTGATTTTTGAGAATAGCTTGAAGCTGTTATGTAGAGGGAATGATGGAACTACGCCGAGTTCAACACATAATTTATTCCTGAAGTCTGAAGTCTGATACATTTTTTCAAACACATTTTTAATTTCTTAGGACATACCCTTGATTGATACAACTTTGCGGGACTATAAGCGCCCCGCACCTTATATATACGCAGCTTACATATTATATAATATAGGATACAGCCAAGCGAAGGAACGTTGCTTATTCACGCAAAACAAGCAGCAAAAAGGGGTGCGTATAACACAGCTGCAGTATTCATAGCTCGGAAATTCTTTGTTTGAATCCTGAACAGCGATTGGGCCATTTTTCGCATTGCTGATGTGTGCTGATAAGTGACATAGAATAGAGTCTTTGAAGCGGTTGTATTCAAATTAAAATTAGGAATTTGAAGGGCTGCTATAAATAAAGTTAGTAATTTGTTTATAATTTTCTTTCATATTTTTATATCTTGCCCTCCCCACACATATAAAATTTTAATTTAGTAATTTATATAAATTTTTGGACTTAGTGCTGAAAAATAGTACGGGGGAGTAAAAAGTCGTGCTCATCAAATTTTTAAAAATTTTGAAAATTCCGAAGTGAATATTAATGGCGAATGGTATTTATGGATGACATCACTATACTGTAGCAAGTAATACATTGCTTGAAACTTCAGTTACAATTAATGCTGTTAGCTCTGAAAAAAGTTCGTTTGGTGCATCATAGCGATGAGTTTTCTTAAAGTAGAACGATTTTTTATGATTAAGCATTAGTTGGCAACGCATTCAGACAGAAGAATATTGGAAGTGTTAAGTGACCTTTCCAAATAATGACAATGATCTTTTACTTCGTAACGTGATAACGAAAAGCGGAAGTGTTCAGAATAACAAATGAAATAGCTGCTCGTCTCTTCTGAGTTCGAATAAATGGGCGAATTCAGGAATAAAATGAGCGAATTCAGGAATAAAGAGTGCGAGAAAGTTGACATTGCAATCAAATTCATGCTCTGTGAAGTAATATTCAATGAAAAAAATAGTTCTGTTTGGGGAAAACTCATTTCCGTTATGCGACATGTAAACGACTCTTTAAGATAACAGCTTAAACTGCAGCTGAAATTTATATTAAATATTTAATTATGTTAGGTATTTAGGTACGTTAGGTAGTCATTCAAGGCTAGAATTCGATAAATAACTAGATTTGAATGTCAAAGCTTATTTTTAGCACTCAAATGTCGCGACATCATTTGTCATAGTCATAGTCTTTTATGTTTAAATTAGGGGAACTTACGCTAGTGTCAGTAGCTGAATTAAGAGCATGCAGACATTAGATCTTTACAAAAAGCATGCATTCAAATAACTTTCTCTATTTACAGCGGTGTTGGATATAACTGATTAAACCACATTTTTATTCAAGCGAATCTTTTATATACCTTCTTCGCATACATATTCTTTAGAACGTAAGGAATTATTAATTCCCGGTTATTTGGCATTCAGTTTCTTGAACTGAGTGGGTTTTTATTCCTGGTTAGTCTTTTACACGCCGTTATTGAATTCATTGGCTTATATTAAGAACATTTAATATTTAGTGAGTAAATTCGAGCAAATTATCTGCCCTTTTGGCAGTCATCGTGAAATCAATCCTTATTTTATTCAAAGCAATTTTTATTCTCTCAAAAATTCTTCCACTTGATAGTCTTAATTGACTGAATAATAATTCGGATTCTCAGTCTTAATTAACTCATTAAGCTTTAAGTACTAGGTAAAATATGCAATCGAAAATTGTATGAACTTTTAAAATTGGTACCGATGGGAAAATATATTTTAATTTCGGCATTTAGGTCCAGAATTGCAACTGCATATACGCAGTTAAATAACCGATTAACTGAACTTGGAATTAATTGAAATTTCTAATGGTTATGTCAGAAAGATTTTGAAAGAATTTTGTTTTATGTACCTGACATTTAATTTTTAAGAAGTGGTTTTCTTTTCGAGCATTTTATGGGAACTTTAAAACTTACCATTATATTGCTAGAATCATCGTCGACACTTATCCAGTCTCGCCCATCATCGCTATATTCTAATCTATAAGAAGTCACCCATTCGTTCGCGTCATTTCTGCCTTGTGTCATGATACCAGTGATATTGCTGAAAGTCAGCAGATCCACCTAAATAAATATTTTTTATTATAGCATATGTTATTAAATGAGGCATAGTTTTCATTAAATATTTACAATACAACAGATTTAAGAATATGTATCATGATTAGTTAGGAATTATAATATAAGTAACAACATAAATCATAATATATACGTATATATAAGGAAATACATTGTGATGACTAATCTAACTTTATTACATATATATGAATAGTATGGCATGTACCTTCTATGCATATATGAAGATTCACATAATATACAGGTGTCCCTACTATAACCCGCCCGACAGAAAGTTTCCTAGAAATTACCGTGTTGTGTGAAATCGTGTTATTCGATACTAACAATCTATACAAAATACAGGGATACATTCCAAAACCTTTTAAAAACAAAATATTATTATTTTAATGTTTGTCACACGCCTTTTCTCTTTTAACAAACGATTAAAAAATTGTATTTCCAGTTTCGAAAAAATAAGTTTCTTTTAAAGCTGTTTTCTTACTTTAAGGCATAGTTTGGGACTAAATATAATTTCATAATAACGTCTTCTAAGAAAGCCAAGGCTAGTTAGTAATATAGCCCAAAAAACCTTTTAAAAAGTTTATTCCAAAATTACAGTTACGTAATTTATGTGAATTACACTTAGAGCACAAAATAGATACTATGTAAACGATGGACACAGCTCAATTTTCAAAATAATTTCGTCGTAAAAGAATGTGGGTGTTCCAAGAATTTATTTTATTTTTGTGTGGTTAAATAAATAGGTTGTAATTTTATACTACACACGTAGCATAATAAGTAATTTAATTTTCTATATGTCTAAAATAAAAAAACGTGCTATCGAAGTATGATCATATACAAAGCGTTAAAAGGGATTTACGCATATTCATTAACGTGCTAGAATGAAACCGTGTTGCTCAATGAAATACTATTATATGAGCATTTCCTCACTTTTCATATCCTGTAAGAGAGAAATCGTGTTTATTCATATAATGACTATAGCTAGTATAGTTGATATCGATATCCTCTACGTTTTCCTATGCAAAACTTTCAACATTCTATATAAAATATTTATATCTTTTAATGCATTTAAATGGTAGCTCTGTAACCGTACAGGATGCCTTGAAATTAATAATATTTTTCCACAAAAACAATTTCAGTCGTAAGCTTGATTTTTCGTTTCCTAAAAACGAATTGATATGGGAATAATTTCTCTTGGTATTACAGTACAATAATTATCCAATAGACGAAGAAACTCATATTCAACGCCGGGAGCAAAAAGTTAAACTATATTCAAGATTTACTATTTCCGAATTCTTCTTCTTTTTAGAAATGTTTTCTGTTTTGTATTAGATAATGTAATACGTTGAGTAAAAATACATTCTTTTTGCTTTGTTGCAGCATTTAATGCAGCCATTCCTTTACCGAAAATGACAGTTAAGGGTCATTTGAAAGAAAACAACTTCTGGCTTTGCGCAAAACGTCATTTGTAAAGGCAAAGGAAGGGGAAGAGAGAAAGAAAGGAGTAATACAGTACCATAATTCAAAAGTATCTTCTATATTTTAGGTACACACCCTCTAAACTCTATTTTTTGCCTTTTGAAAAGGCACTTCCATCGTCCATTTGTTTCTTTTGCATCCAGCATTACTAAACCAGGGTCTGCATATATTCCGTAATTCTTTTCAATCAACACAAATTACAGAAATCATTACCTGTATAAAGGGATTTTCATCATCCTTATCGGCAACCCATGCGGTATCGCTGTCCATGCGGGCGTTCGATGGGCTCAAAGTAGGGGATGAATAAGATGAAGCTGACAGTTGGAAATCATAAATAGATCCACTTTCCATTCCAAGAGGCTCTTGACACTCTGAAATAGTTACCATACATTTAACATTTCAATAAATGGTTTACAAGCAGATTTAAGACACTAATTAAACTCAAATATGTATGCACAGAAACGCAGTTTGCAAACTTTCAGGTTTCTGTACACTTTTCGGCTTCTGTACAATATAATACACTGCTGGCTATTATAATTGTTACTCCACGAAGGCAGGCAGCATACAGCAAACATGAAAATTGCATGAAAAGTACTACGTGCTGGGATATGCAAATGGTTAGCATGCCAGGGCATGCGCAGAAAGCAGTTACGAGTAACACCATCTAAGTAATGTATAAATGGGAAAACTGAACAGCAGGTTTTGCACTATGTCTAATGTGAAAAGGAGAAATTCCTAACAGCACGTGTCCTAATTCGACCGCGGCAGGATCGGAGCCTGCCGGGACTGCAGATTATCACTCCACAACATTGCTGTTCGTATTGGTCGGGATCCCATGACTGTCAGGAGAATATGGAATTGATGGATCCACATGGACCATAGTAAACGCCATGCAGTTTCAGCGCCTCCGGGCTACTCCGGGCTCAGGGGTTATGTATTAGTGGAAAACATATTTTATTCTTGACCTTGCTGGATCTTAAAGCAACGTAATGACTTTGCTTGTGTAGCACGATAAGTGCCTGCACAGACAGCGCAGCACCGCACTACGAGCACGGAAACTAGTGTTGCGCCTTTCCTTGACGCTGCAGCAGAGACAGTCACATTTATAGTGGAGGAACGAACGATCATACTTTATATAAAAGTTGCACCACGTCATCCTTTCAGACGTATTCCGGGTCTGCATGCAGCATCATAATGGACGTATCTGTATGTAAAGGCACCAAGAATAACAAACATTTCCAATTTGCGTTTGTCATCCTCATACGGACATATCACCAGGTGTGCTTGCATGGGGTGCCATTGGGTACACATCCCGGTCACCAATTGTTCACATAGCAGGTAATTCGGATAGTTGCCGTTACATTTCTGACGCGTTATGTGGATGTGCCTTAAATTCGAGGCCTGCCCGACGCGATCTGTTAATAAGTTAATGCACGATTGCAAGTTGCCTGTGCTGTTCGACTCGACATGCAATCGGGTTTCAGTCGTAATTGCTACCAGAAGTAGCAGCTTTATGTACTGAAATTTGCATGCTATATACCCCAAATCACATGAAAATTTCATTATGCCTTTCATTATGCTGTATATGTACAATAAATAAAACTCTGCTCTCTACTTTCCTTCGTGGTGCAACAATTTTAATTGACATCAATGTATATACTAAAAGATCTCGATTTATTTTCTGACAAAAATTGAATCGTTCTCCATTTTTGCTTTCAAATTTATCTGTATATAAATAACGTTATTTATTCATGCTGTTATCTTTCTTTGAAATGTAGTTTATCAGCGGGATTCAGTTAGAAATCATGTTCTCATAGCAGCATTTTCGCATAGATCATTTGAAGACGAAATTCGAAGCGAAATATTCATTCATTACAGTCGACTTTAGCGAATCTCAAAGGTCCGAAATTTTGGTTAGCGGTACTCTGTGTGAAAAGAAAAACAAATCATCTCCCAAATTTACAGTAAAACCTAACTGATGAAACACACAGAATGATTAACATTGTTACATCATCCAAAAGCTGTTAATAGTAACTTTAATTTAAAAATATTAAAATTAATTACAAATACTATTACGGGCAATTACTAAATTTCTTTTTTGCTGCTCCTCAGTTTCACTATACGTTAATAATTTTACACAAAAAATTATTTAGCATAAATGTCAGGGTTTACACACATACCCTAATTATGCATTTCCATCTAAAATGCGCATGTACTATAATGAATAAACATCAGCCTTGAAACGAATACTGTCTGATAGCTAAATTAAAGAACTCAAATGAAACCAAAGAACTGATTCAACCTCTTTGTCCGATAAATCAATGGTTTTTTGGCTCAGTGCATGACAATTAAGATCTTCTAATGTCTATTTATTGTGTCTTGTTTTCCAAAAACTGAGCGCTACAACTACTTTGCACAGTCTTTTATTTAGAACACAGAGAAAGATGGGAGTGAAAATAAAAGTACAGTAACTTAATATTATTCTAATATCCTAAACAGAATGAGTTTAAAAGTTAGTAATTTTTCAGCTGGGAACTGCAGAAGTTCTGAAAAAAAGTTTGGGAAATACAAAACATTTCTTCACAGTACCGATACAAAAGATAAATAAAGTAAGTATACAATATAATATCTATGTATGAATTTTTACGATTTTTTACGAACCCGTTTTTTACGTGATCTCGGTTATAACGAGCAAATGTCGCGGTCCCTTCTGAAATGTTATAAGCGAGTTCCACTGTACATTGAAATAACTGCAGTATATCGCAATTACCGCACTTACTGGCGTATTTTCCTCTAATTTTTTTATTAATTTTACCTTCCAAAAACTGACAAGGGAAAATTCCATGATGTATATCCATTCTGATAGAAATGTTTGAGTGGAAAAAAAAAGGTCTAAGAAGTGATCAAAATTATGAAGAGTTAAAAATTGTGTTAAAAAGCACCCATATGAGTAGATAGATGTATGTGAGAGACTATAGTTGTATTCTGCACTTCCAGAAAGCTAGTTGAAGTTTTTAATCTTAATAATATTCTTTTTACTTGCACGATATATTTTCCCTGTCTGTGCAGCAGACTTTTATGTTATTACCATAAATCAGAATTCTCATACTAAAAATAGCTAGACGTAAAATAGGCGAGGAAGAGAAATATTCCAGTAACTGTGACATTTAAATTAATTTAGACAGAATTTTTAACATATATCGAGAGTTTCGATTAAAACATGAAAATAACTCACGTCACTTGTTGTAAGCAATTTCATGAAACGATATACTTCACTTTTTTAATACTTTAGTCTATTTCTTCTTGTTACTTTATTAGGTATTAAAAAGCATGAGAAAAGTTAGCCGTATTGACTCGAAAAAGTAGATGGAAATAACCATTTACATTTATAATGTGAACTTTAATAGAAATTATCTTTACCATATGGATGATAGCAACCAAGTAATTCCAATCTCAATCCTATAGCATCGTGGTAATCTAAGGGAATTATGCGAAAGTATCTACTTTCTATAACTTCAGGAAAGGTATTCACCACAGGAGTATCTCTGTCTTTGTTGGCTGGAAATTCCTGAAAAATAAAAACAATTCGCATTTGAATTTTTAAAGAACACTGGCTGTTCCACAGGAAGAAAGGTTCAATTGAATTAATTCCTTATATTAGGTAAAAAGAAAAGGAAACTTGTGTGCGGTGTGAACGTACTCAGTTTATCAATATTTATTAGTGTGTTTCAACGTTTAGCGACGTTTTTACCTGAAACATTGTTTGTGATTAATTTCATGAATTGATTTATTTTGTTAACTTTACAGCTTATTATTGCAGAATGTTCAAGTTACGTGGAAAAATAAAACAACTGATCCATCTTCGTTTACTCTTTATTCTCATACTAAGTTTCAAAATATTCTATACTATCAAAATTCGAAATAGTCTACACTTCAAAATATTCTATAAAACTATTGGATTCTCAATTGGATTTATTCTCTACTTTTTAATTCTGCCACTCTCTTTCCAACATAATTCATCCCGTAGCGAGTTTCACGCGTTCGCTTACTCGAACAATTAGAGAATCAGAGGCTTACTAATTGATCAAAATACTACAGAAAACTACAGTACGAAATAAGTCATACGAATAAGTACGAAATAAGTATTACAGTACTGCAGTACGAAATAAGGCATCCCACTGCGTTTTGCGAGTGCATGCTTTTGGTATAAATCTATTTAAGTTTTAGTACATAATTTCGGAAGGGGAAAAAACAAAAACAAACTTAAGATTTATATAATACAATAATTCTGATAAATCACAATCGTAGAATATTCTCCTTTTTCATTTAGATAGTATAAAACAATAAAACATTTAAAAATATTATAAATTACACACGAGTAGAAAGAGGCGAAAAAAAAAATAGAAACAGATTCGTGGTTTTGGCATGGTGCTGACGATATGTCATATACCTATTTACTAATTATTTAACAAACATAAATTTTAAAATCCCTTCATGTGTCAATTTTAATTGATACAATTTTAATTAAAAATCTGCGTGCATGTCCTTTTTTTTTGGGGGGGGGAGGTACACATTTTAATTTGTACTTTCTATTTTTTACTGATTTTTACTTACATCATTTCTTGATTAAATTATATGAAAATAGATTCTGAATTTCTTTATTAAGTATACATGTATATATTCATTCTTATAATAATTCATTCTATAATCTGTCAAGAGATGGCACTGTTAAAAGGAACGTCGATAGATGGCGCAGAGTCAGAAAGAATCAGTGGCGTGGCAATGGTAGCAGGGACTCTCTTGAGCCAAAGCCTTGCTTTAGCAAAGCTACTCACGCATGCATAATAGACATTTTTTTCAGCATTGTAACCAAAGAATATGTATAGACTTTCTTTGTTGTAACCTCTTCAGCACACAATCAGCTGCTGACGAATGTGTGCGCTGTCTTCACGAATTCAACAGAAATTTCTTTCCATATATAAAAAATAAATTTTTTTAAAGTATTCATAGGCCCAAAGATAAACATTTAGTACTGTTTGCATTAAGAATAACTAATTTGTTATTCATATAAGCCCAGATATGAGGTAATTCACTGGAGACTTAAAAAGCATATGCGGAAACAGATTGATTTTTTTTCCCACTCGTGCATGTTTTTGTATTGCTTTAAATTAGTGTTTAAATTAATGTGCAATAATCAATTAACTTGACCTTGTTTCACATTTATTTGCTAATAAATTTTTGTTTGATAATTTCATCCTATATTTATTGCTATCATAAAAATTCTTTTTAAATTTATTTGAATTCATATTTTTCATGAAGGCATATCTCATTCTGTGCAAATAACTCTTGAGTACTTTGCCATAAACAATTTAATCTTATTTTACATTTATTTTCCAATGTAGCTTTTATTTTTTATTTTTTTGATATTTCATTCCATATTTACTGTTACCATAAAAGTTCTTCTTTTCATACACACTCTACAAAATCACAAACTTTGGTCCTTTCCGTTTCTTATTTTTGATTACATTATCTTACCTATTACCTATTAATAATCCAAAAAGATAAGATTCATCCATCCTCTGAGAATTCTGACTATGCTTATTCATAATATTTTTTTACTCAGACTGGGATAATTTTGAGAAAATACACACAATAGAAAATAAAATCTGAAAAAGCTATGATTGAAAAGGCTAAATAAAGAAGTTGTTAACAAAAACGCTATCATAGGAAAAAATAGGGCTTCGAACACTCAAAACATAAAAAATTACCTTCCATTAATAATCAAATATAAGAAATAAGTAAACTGATAAACAAGGATTAACTTCCGCAGAGTGAGAAAATTCAGTGGAACAGCCTACCCTTAGTCGCCAATCTCATGATACAATCGCCAATAGTGTATACAGAGGACGGCAGTCAATTACGCCAGCGAAGCATGTCATTGTGCATGCATGAAGCATAAGCTGTGCTAAAATGAGACGCTACTTGCAATGGCCATGTGTTTTTCGATCTCCCAGCATGTGGCTTGTGTATATAATGTAAATAAACTATTATGTTAATAAATAAAAATATAAGAAATATTGGTGTCTGGTCTTTCTACAATAACAATTACAACAACAAGAGTTAACATAGGCAACGTATTAAGCCTATTGTAGTACACGTGGCATGGGGTTTTAACAGTGGCACGCGAAGACGTATTGAAAAATTAAAAGAATTTGAAGAAATAATAATATCGTCTGTATCAATTCTGTCGGTAGATACACACATAATCATATTAGAATAAATAGTTTTTTTTTTAACTTTTTGAATTTTAGTTTAGGTTTATTTCACTATAGCTTCATTTCGCCGCTATTCTGGAGAATAGCTTGTTGAGCTTGAAAGCTCAACTACAGCTACATACAGAAGTGGAATGCACAAGAAAATATATCATATGATAAGTTGTCGTATTGTTGCTACATGTTCGATGCAAATACCGTAATAAGCTGCAATTATATATATATAATTCTGCAATATAAAACAGAAATTAAACGAATAAAAAAAAAAAAAGAATATTTACAAAGGCTTGAGTGACGCTTATAATTAACGCGTATGCGCCGATCCTAAACGTTCTCAGATTCAGACAAAATTGGAGATATTCCTTCGATATTTCTTTGATTCAGTTGATTTTAAACTGCCGAACAAGATATTAAGCTTTGACTGTTTTTAAGATTCGTCGTTGTTTTAAAAATTTTATTTTCATTATGTCCATGAGCAAATCTTCGACATCGAAAAGAAAATGAGAAGAGGATATTGCAATTCGTGATTTTAAAACTGTCTGGGAAGAACAATTTTTGTTTACCCGTCAAAATATTTTCAAGCCTATTTGTTCGCCGAGATTTCAAACAAACTGCATAGTGATTTCAACAAAAAATATTCTTTGAGGTCAGACTTGCGAATGAAGTTTAGCAATTAAAATAAAAAACAAATCTTTAGCCGGCCAACAATCCTTGTTCCAGAACAGAAATGACGAAATGGAAACTATGGTGAAGGTTTCTTATGAACTTTCTCTGTTGTTAGGCTGCAAGAAAAAAAAAACCCTGTTTTGACTGACAGGAGATGATAAAAAAAATTAATATTTGCGAAATAATTTAATATTTGCGCAAAATGTCGGTGATACAAAAGTCAATATGGTTGATAAAATAGCTTTGTCTGGAAATACAGTCATGAGTCATACAGATGACACGGGCCAGGATATTGCCACACAAACTGTCTCTGGATACCAATATTGCAAGTACTTTTCATTAACTTTGGATAAAAGCGGAGACATCACAAACAGCGCGCAGTTAAGTATATTTGGGCGTTATTCGAACGAATAATTTTGATATTGTGGAATATTTTGATTTGCGCCAACTAGTGGTGAGGACATTTTTAAAGAGCTTAAAAAATGCAATTGAAGTTAACGAAGTAGAGTAGATAAAATTAGATAGTGTTTGCACAGATGGAGCGCCTTGCATGGTTGAAGAATAAAAGGTTTTGTTACATTGCTTGAAAATTATTTGGGAAAAAAAGTTTTTAAACATCACTGTACTATCTATCAAGAAACTCTTTGTGCTAAGGAAAACCTGTCTTCTGTTGTTGACCCTGTAGCGCACTGCAAAAAAAACTACGTGTTCAAAAATTACATTAGTTAAGTATTGACTGTTTAAAAATTACCCAGAATTAAATGTTTCAAATTATTCATTTTTATTTTATACGTTATCTAACTGAATGAACATTTAAAAATGTTTATTAACAATAAAAACCCTAGTTTGTTTTATTTATATTATTTTTTAAATGTCCATACTCAGATTTACATAAAAATATACTATTTGCGTGAAAATCCCATAAAAAGCCTATAAATAACATATTTTCACCTTTTTATATTTTTTAATATGTTCAAGAAGTTGGAACTGGCACGCATAAGTTTTTTTGTTTTCAGATAGTAGCAGTATTTCCAAAAATGTTGCCCACTTCTGATGCAGATGGTCAAAATCCTATTTTGCAGGGCTTTTAGTTTAGGTGAAAGAGGCAAATTAATGGTGACTGATTCATTACGTTATGCAAATATTGGATTTTTTTTTTTTTACTTTAAGACAATCCGCGTATTTAATTGTGAATATTCATTAAAACCAGAGCACACTTTACAATAAACATTTCTTGAACCTCAATAATTGTTCATGGTAGAATTATTTAATATGAATCTTTTCTTAATAACATTAGCAGGCCGTGATATTTGACATGCAAATATTTAGCGACGGCTTTATATCACATATTGAAAGTGAAACTTACCAAAACATTTGCACTCTCGTCAACTACTGGTTGCCAGCTATCGCCATCTTGGCTGTAAATAACTTTGAATTTTGTTACCCAGTAGTCTGTGTCTTTCATGCCTTTCGTAACAACCGCGCTAACGTCTCGTGGCTCAAGAAAATCCACCTGAAATATAAGTAAGAGAATACGTTATGATCATAAACAAAATTAGTTCCTTCATGTGCTCAGGAAAAATAAGGTGAAACATTCCCAGTTACTTACGTATTAACGCATTGCCAAAGTTTCAGAATACGCCAAACTCTGGCAACTACGCGCATAATAGTTTCTTAGGAAGCCACGCGAATAACAATTTTTTACTTTTAACGGCCAACGTCACTATTTTCATATGCATTCTTATAGTTCCAACAGTTTTTAATGGCAATTATGATAATGTTTTTATCTTAAACTAGTTTTGAAATATATGCTTATGGGCTTTGTCTACAATAGGGGAAACCGCGGTAAAAATTCTGCAGGAGTACAGTATTTTATCGTAAAATCGCTAAAGAAACAGTACTTTGTCTCTTCTTAAAGTGATTTGCAACGAAATTTCTATCCCAAAGGACAGTGAAACCCATTTCTAAGCAGGTTTATTGATTGTTTTGATGAATAAATATCTAGTTCAAACATAAAATATTTATGTTGTAATATATATGTATGTAATAAATATAGTTCACCAGATTGCGCTAATACGTAAGTACCCATTTTCGTTTCTTTCTGATTAATATTATTGAGCTGTGAAGTATGAAATGAATTAAATCATGAAAGTTTTAGAGTAAGCGAGAAATTTTTAGTCTTCTACTTCTGAAACTTCATACACATGAATTTTGTATGAAAGTTATTTTTTGTAATGTGAAAAACCATAATTATTTTTAAAAAATTGTCTAAAAGTCTTATTCTTAATGAGCTGTCATATATGCGAGCATCTTGATGGAGAAAGTTTTTTCATAATGAAATAATTACCGTATTTCCTCACGTATTTCACCCTTCTTTTAATTAATTGTATTATCAGGAAATCGAGAGGGGAAAACTATGCGAGCAATTTAATTTCCGAAGAATACGGTTACAATGGGAACATAAAAATGAAAAGTAGCCACGGATAAACTACTGGTAATTATCGTAATATTATTTCTTTGAAAGAAATCTATACCGCAATAAGAATGGTAATATTAACATTACAATATCTGACGAACAGAGCCGATATCTGATGGCAACTGAAGCTGACATTCAACTGAATTACCTAGTAAAATCCCAGTGGCACTCACAGGGACGAGTCTTGACCGTAGTTTCCAAGAGTTACATCGAAAGTACAAAAAAGAAGGAGGGCGAACAAAAGACCCGAATTTCGAAAGCTCGAGCACATCAACATAAATAAGGCGACAGTGGACTGAAACACAAATAACAGAAGTAAGGCAAAATCTTAGATTTCAAACGTTTTGTTAAATGTGAGAGCACCTGCAACGTCCGGGTAACTTAATGAAGAACTAATCTGCACTAAATATGTCTCCATATAAAAATGCGAAAGAAAATAAAATGAATGAAATGTTAATACAAAAATGCAAATGCAAAATGAATACACTGAATAAAAGTGAAAATAAACAAGGCAATATAATTTTCCAATAAACTAGCCCGCAGAGGGCGGGAAGCTATGTATAATAAAAAAGAGGGAATTTATGTGAATATTTAAAAAATTTTAAAACCTAGGGCTGAAAAGCTGGGGGGGGATACTCGAATCTACTTATATCTGTTAAGATACGGTAGGATGCATAAATTGAAACAGAAAGGAATAAATAGGGTGATTAAGTAAACTGGATTTTAAACCTTCCGAAGCGTCGTCTTTAATTTTAATAAGCCTTAGGCTTTCGCAATTTAGCCCTGCTTTTATTTAATATTTAGTTTTTGGGTAATCAAAGGCTGAAAATTCTGATGAAAGAAAGTTATGATGAGTTAGTTTAAAAGGATCTCATTTTACGAGCCATTTAGTTTATGACCGTAGAATAAAATTCTCAACTATTATATATGTTGGATGATTATGTAAAATATTAGAGAAGAAAAAGAGCACATACTTTTTTTTTTCAGTTTCAGTAAAAATGGATTTATGATTTTCTTTTCCTGTTAGTTCTTCATTTATTTTCTATTACAGAATATCAATGTACATTTTTACTTCCATCTAACGTATTTATTCGTGCATTTTTTTCTCTTCGCATATTCTTCCCCCTTCTATATATTTTAGAGCAAGGTTCTGATGATTTTTTAGACATTCACGTGTTTTCTCTCTTTCTCAAGGTATTTAGAAAGCGATCTTCCCTAAATTTTAAAATGGGTTCGTTTACGCAATGGTTGCTTTTCTCTTAGTAACTGATTTTCTCGCGAATTTTGGGCGCATGGCTTCTAATTGAAATAGAAATTTTAGAGAACTTCAGGAAACAAGAGAAGTCTAACAATTGGAGAAGTCAAACAACAAGATCACCTTAATATCTGTAAATTTTACAGGACTAGTTTGGCCAGTTTAACTACAGAACCATCTTCCTCAGCTGCCTAAATGCAAATGAACAAGATAAGATAAGAATGGCTGGACAGAAGTTAAGCTACTGATGCCATCTATTGATGAAATAAGAAAACTAAAACATAATTTCTTTAAAGGCTGAAGGTAAAGATGGTTTGGAATTATGGTCATTAACTAGAACAGAAAGATTTTTTTGAATGTGAAACGCCTCTAGAAAATCTAATTCACCAATCGAAGATGTTTTTTTTTTAATAATTTTGGCTGCAGAAAAATGGAAAGCGTGATTTTCCGACCAACAGTGCCGGGCAACAGAGGATTTCTCTGTTTCCTTTTCCCTAACATATGCCTCATGTTCTTTTAACGCGAAATTTTGAGGCTCTCTCTTAGTTTGACCAATGTAAATTAAACCACATTCGCAAGGAATCCTGTAAATACCCCGGGAATTCATATCTGGAATGGAGTCCATAAGTACTAAACTGGGAATTTTATTGATAGAAGGAAAAATTACCCGAAAATTAAATTAACGAGTCTAGTGAACGACCCTAATATTCCAATCCATCTTTATAGTCTAAAAATTTTTTAAAAAGTTCGTTAAGTCTAAAAATATGTTATTCACGCAGTTTTATTACTTTAGAATCGTAACTGGTAATCGTAAAATTACTCATTAATCTACACATATTTTTCTTTTTTAATTAATGAAAAAAATATTACGAGTTGGCTGCGTGCCGATACTGAAGCCTGCCAGTGTTTTCTAGAATACGAGTTCTTATAAGATTCTGTGAATAAGATTTCCATTTTGTAAGTAATTATATTGATTAATATTTTTCATAATAATATGCATAGAAATGCTCTCCACGTAAACTATTAACATTAGAAATATTTTTCTAAACAATATTTTATTTTTAATTAAGTACATATGCAAACATTTTGCTCTTCAATTTGTGTACGGTCGCCGAATATGATTTCCAATTTTAATATCAAATATCTCTGTAAATGTTTGTAGTATGGGAGGGAAACGTTCTGTGTTTTATTGTTTTAATGAGTACAAAGTTTCCCAAATATAAATATAGTGACCGGCCGAACTTGTAGAAAGTTCATTTTCGTATTTTATACAAAATTAATTTTTTTAAAGTTTAAAATACGAAACACGAATATTTGCGTCATTTAAAGCATTTCTGTAACGGTAAATTTATGGCTACGACCAACAATTGCAAAAATAAAGGCTGGATGATGAATTTTATGAAGAAGTGTATAATATTCTTGAAAATTTTATTGTTTTTAAATCCATCTGTGGTGTTTTTAACGCTGCAAAATTATTTCTCTTTTCATTTTTAAAAGTATTCCTGTTTCGAGTATTAATAATTTATTAAGAAGAATATTATTTAATCTAAACTTACCGCGTATGATATTATTATGGGATATTTGTACTTTAGATTGTGTACTATGCAAATAAATACATTTGTAGAATTTTATTGCAAAGGTTTCCTTTCACTGGACATATTTATTTTCAAAAGTATTTATATGCTATTGTTTTTGAGTTTTTGAAACTTTGATAAAGAATGTTTCTTCCTTTCTTCCCTGATACTTTAATAATACATGTTATAAGATAATTTGCATGCTTTCGTAACACAGCAATTTATGAGTTTTATTTCGGATTATAACTACATATTTTCTTCAAAAGTGTGAATCGCTACTCAGTAAAAGTTTCCTTTTTAAAATATCTTATTCGTGCTAATAAACAAAACATAATACCTGAAAAATTCATTACATTCATTCTAGCAATTAAATACACGTTACTTAGTCTCGCCTAAATTGTATATTGTCATTTTTGTGGCTGAAAGAATGCTGCTTGGTGACAAAAGCATCCTTCTTTGTCAAAAGATCATTACGTACTAATCACTAAAACTTCCTATTATTGGAATAGTTCTTCATTTTTACTATGGTGTGATCGAATTCTTTATCATGCTTTTTCTTTATTTAAGGAATTTTCCTTTTCGCATGACAGATATTAATATCTTAATGAAATTGCCATCGTTCTAGTTTAGCCTTCATTTTGAAAGTTTCGACATTTAAATAAGGTTATTAGTTACGTATTTGTGTCTGAATAATAATTCAAGCAATGTTTTTCGCTCTTTAGTCTATTTAAGAACCTTATTTACACTAAATCACAACTTCAGAGAATTTAAAGATGATATGCTAGGGATAGCTCTTTCATCTAGAAACTATTTATAATGAATGAGAATATTTGGGAATATATGCTAAAGATTAGAAATGTTGATTTTATATTCATAATGATTTCCCATCCAAAGAATTCTGAGGTATTGTTTTGGGAACCAACATGTCGTTTAGAAAAGTTTCACTTAAGTACTTACTTTCACTTAGTCACTTAGGTAAATGCCAGTTTTATTTTAGTATGCCATCTGTTAAGATACCTTTTCTTCGCGAAAATAGTTTTCTTATGGTGCTATCTGCCACGTGCTGTTTCTGTGTTTTGTAGGATACTTATTAGTTTTGAATGAATTAATGAAAGTGTTAAAAATACAGTACCTGCAAATAAGGCTTTGCATCAAACATGCGAGGTTGCCATCCTGACTCATCATTAATTCGTACATGGTCAGGCATGGTGTCTGGGTTCGCAGAAGATGAAGCTGATATCTGTGCATCAGCCAGTACTCCATTCTCCAAGCCCATGGGTTCTCGACAGACTAGAATTTAAATAAAAAGAATGCGAAATTGTCACAATTTCAAATTAATGGTTATTAATTAAATTTTATTTCTTTTATCTTTTCGGAGATGAATACATACATTTTAAATGACCAGTGTAATGGATTCTAATTTTAAATTCATAGAATAATTTTCTGGACGCCTTACTGATGGTAAAAACGTCTATAACTTGCTTAGGTCTCTTACAAATGTTTAATGACCAAGCTTATCATTGCTAGAGCCTAATTCTGCAAAGATTTCAAAGATTTTCATGAGCTTAGTTGTACTGGTTCTATAAGAAGGAGACGCTGAAGTTTTTAACAAGATTTACTTAATATTTAGTCCGCATTCACAAATGCAGATGATACACATCTTCCGGGGCGATGAGAATATAGTGCAGCTACATACCTCTAGTCGTAACATTTGGTGCATTTTTATATTTATATTTCTTCGTCATGTATTACACTTAACATATCTAAATTTAAAAAGATTTTCCTGAATATAATGATTTAGCATTCAGTTGTAGGTTTCCTTTGCTGGATGCTAATAAACACACACACACACACACACACACACACACACACACACTTCCTTTTGGGGAGAAAATGAAGAAAGTAACTGTTTTTATAAAAATTAAATATGCATAAAGCTCACATACAAGAAATGAAATAATTAAAAATTCAAGACAATTGGACCAATTAGTGGCTAATAACTGCACAAATGTTCAAATCAGTATTTGGTGAAATCTGTGGTGGCGAAGCATCCTCATAAACTTGAAGTAAAGGATACTAAAGATTTCTAATATTAATCCTGCGATAAATTCTGCCGGCATTCTTCAACTGTTGCTCCAGACCTGAATCATTTTGGGATGTCCGAATTTGGCTGCCTGCCATATAACCACACATGTTAGATTGGTCTTGTGACACCGATGGCAAAAGAAGAGTATTAACAACTCGGAGAAAGTTCAGAGATAAGAGAGCGATATGGGGCCTAGTGTTATCCTACTGCAAAACGGTTTCAGGATGGAGCGCCCTGAAGGTAATGCAAACGTTCACAGAATGTCATCAATATATCTTTGAGCTGTTAAAGTAGTATGCAGAATGGCTAATACAATAATAATAAGGTCAAGGTCAACTGCCGTAAAAGATAGCCTTAACATTATCACACCACGGAAAATGGATGTGTACCTGTAAAACAAATGCTCATTTCGACCGCTCGCCCTGGTCCCTCCATGTACGGATCTGACGGTAACCTGTTGTGAGACTGAAGTGAGATTCATCGCTGAACACTATAGGTTGAACATTGCGACGCCAGTCGACTGGTAGGCATGATGATGGCTACGGCACCACTCTAAATGACTCTAATGTTGTGGGGCAGATGTCTTAAAGGCCGCTGTCAGCAACCCCGTCTCAGCCAAGCTTGTTATATGGAAGGTGCTTCGGGGACATGGAAGAGGCTGTAGCACGTTGTATGGCAGATAATGAATGGTGCCGTTGGGGCAGTTCGGACCTGTCATACAGTCATCTGATCTTGCTTTCATTCGTGCACCTTAGCCTGCCAGAGCTTTAATTCCGCCGATGAGTACCTTGCATTAACAGTTACTGCCAGGGCTTTTGCACGAGGTGGCCTGTTGCTCGGTATGACCAACCTGCTGCATGCATCCTTACCAAGCGACAACATTCGAAGTCATCTAATTGTCTACAATGCCTTCAACAATGTTGTAACGACATTATTGGTTGTGTCTCAGGGGAAACGAAACGCCGACAACGTAAAAAAGTAATCCGATCACTATTGGTATATGTTTTTAATTGGTATTATTTTTTAAAGGGTGCTTAGTCTTTTTTAATGCAAGAGAGTGTATATTTAAATGTGTGCATATATAAAATGAAAAAAAAAATCTAGAACCTTCTCAAGAAACGAACAAAAAATAACTTTGAGTGACAATGTTAATAAACGATTAGTAAGTCAATTTTTCGACATTACGATAGTCAAAGAAATAATAAAATACAAAATGTAAAGCAAAAGAAGTAAAGGTTAAAAATGATGAAATAGCAAAGACTGCTTTAAACATATTCTTATCAAGGTGAAATGCTTAGTTAAACTAATTAAATCAAAAACTATATTTCTAAAATTACACAAGACAAGGTACAAATTTTTAAACTGTAAAAAATAAAAAAATAATCTAAAAAGAAATATCATCTTGTTTGGGTGCAATTCAACCCTCCAATATACCTTGAACCTCAGTCCATAATGGTCATAAATTCTGGTAAACAGTTTCCTTTTTATTCAGTCTTTTCTCAGTTCTCCATATTAGTGTCCACATTTTTTTGTTTTTATTACTTATTAACTTTTTGTGTTTTTAACTTTATTTATTAGGTGTTACGTTCTTCGCCACATAAAATTTAAAAACATAAAATTTAAAACAGCAAAATCACGCAATATTTAAAAAGCAACATAAATTACTTATAGAATGACCAGAAAAGAGTAAAGAAAAAGAATGAGAAACAGAATGAAGGGCAAAATACAACTCTCATGTGCTAATAACGATGGTTATTAATGACGACACGGCCATTTAAAAATCATGAAAAAAATTTCTCCCCAATTTTTTTATTTTTTTTCATTCCTTAGGTAAATTTAGGTTATGCGTGCTTATTTGTCATTTGATTTTGTTTTTAATACGCTTTAATGTTTCCAAATTAAGGATTTTGAGTTTTCAGCATGTAGCCTTACGACATATTGTTTTTCAATTTGAATGTTTAATTTATTTTTATAAATGTTTTTCATATCGAGTTTGGGAATGTGTTTTGGCTTTAGCGGCCATACTGGATTTTGCAATCTAGTATATTAAATAAAATTTAGACCTTAGCTTTTTATTTTAATTTTCTAAATTGTATTTGACTTTAATATTTAAAATTTATATGTTTTTGTATTTTGAATTTGACTAATGGCCATATATCTATGACTTAAAAGGTTAAAGCTATATTGGGGGTTGAGTTACACCAGAAGGTCACATTTCCTTTTAGATTTTTTTATATTTTTTATTTTTTCTCTCGTATTGTATAATTTTCTACCTATAGCCTTTGATTTAATTAGTTTAATTGAGCTTGTTTTGAACTATCTCCATCCCGACGAGAGCGCATTTAAAGCAATCTTTATCATTCTATTAATTTTAATCTATATTTCCTCTGTTTTTCATTTTATTATTATTTGCAAAATAGAGAAATTTAAATTAAACAATGATTATTATGTATTCACGAATTATACATTGCTTTTTAATTCCAAATCAATCATGAAGTGTTGTATGTTTGCAAAGGAGTAGCGCTGGTATAGAGGAAAACTTCTGTACTGAGAAAATGATACCTATAAAGTTACTATTGATGTGATAATTTTTAAAGGAAAATTGACGTACTTTGTTCTTCATAGCATCCGAGTACTTCAACTCGTAGACTTGTCCATCTATGAAATTTTATTGGTTGAATGCTGAGGTACCTGGCTATGACAGGCAACGGGAATAAATTAATCACAGCCGAATCTTGATCGTTATTTCCTAGAAACTCCTAAAGAAAATAAATTGAATGTTAAAAGGTAAAAAATTCATAACTTTGCTATGTTTATGACTTTTACACAGGTATACAGCTATAATTATATATACTTATATAAGAGAGTTTACTAATAAATTGTTTCAGAATTGATTCATCGAATAATCGAAAAGGTATATGTAGGCTAGGCGGCAGATAGCTGATAGGCGGCGGATAGCTGGCGAGGGTACCAGTGCTTTACAATGAGGTTGTAAGGTTCTGCTAAGTATAGAAGCTAATCTCAATGTCTTGGAGACACTATTAGACTTCAAAACGAGTTAAGCTTTGGTCTGAAGCAAAAGTTTAAGTCTTAAGAAGGTAAAAATAAGATTTTAATTTAACTCTTAATAATGAGTATAAGGTACTACTTGTGCTATAGACGGACCTCCGCTACTTGCGAGTATTTAAAATAACATAAGATGTAGGTAATTTCAATGTAGATGACGTAGTCTGAGACTAGACATAAAATCTAATACTTAAAGATAATTAACAGCAAGTATTTTAAATGTCGGCTATTAATATGCTAAAGCCTGAAAATAACATTGACAGAGTTTGCGACAGTACATAACTGCACTGCAGGGCTACCAGATGCTTCTAACTCAAAGTATTCAAATGCGCAACAATTAATTTTAATACTGGTGAGGACTGCGGAAAGAAGAAGTTAAAGTAAATGTTCAAATCCTAATAACTGGTTAATTAGCATAAAATAATATAAGGTCAGTAGGTGCTCCCCTTCCACTGCAACGTACAAACGTTTCTAAGTTCTGTACTTTTCCAGCATTACTGCTTGAGTAGTTTGTGAGAACGAATTCGTAGTATACGTGAGGCTGTTGTGCTCATGACGACGCAGTGCTTGTTTTGATGAGTACTTACCCGAAAGGTAGCTTATAAGTGATCTTATAAAAGCTAATGACTCAGTGGGCGTTCCATGCGTGCAAAAGACCTGAAGAAAAATAACTGTAGACGTAAAGGAGAAAAATTCTTACTTTGAAATACATTGCTCTGTAACTAAGTTTACTAAAATATTTATGCTGATGACGTTTCTTTTGCATTTATTCTTTTCAATAAGGAAGATTATACATTTTGGAATTATTTGCAATGAATGACGAATGTGGAAATCTTTTCTTATGTGTCATTTGAATAGATAACACCGACCGTCTCCGAATTCACTGGCGAGGATTTCCAGCAGTATCACTGTGCAAACATCAGGCCTTTACCTTCAGTTCTGATGGGTGCCTCTTTAGTCAAGCATCAGCACAGTAAGGAAAATTCTACAGAACTACCGGTAGAGATTTAATCCTAGGTTTAATCTACGCCGCTTGCCATAATTTAGCCTCCCATACGCGATCGTGTTTAGTGATTTTACGTCACTAACGACGATCACGTATGGGAGTATTCGCGTATGCTGTATTGAATCCCTCGCCTTCCTTCCCTGTGCGCGCCAGAGAGCGGCGTGGAAGCATAGAAAAACTTTGAATTTAAACATTGTCTTTCCGGCAAGCGGATACTAAAAATGCACGCCAAGCCGAAAACTTCTCGAGACGTTGGTGATAGAAGAGCAGTGAGAAACCCTCAGACCACCCTCCCTCCGGTTGTTCTTTCTGGGAAATCCAAACTTGAGTGGAAATTTAATATAAAAACTCAATCACATATGGTACTGAAGAAGTGCTGACCTAGCTTCTATCTGTTCCTACACTTGCCATACAATTTGTCTAAAACCTGCGCTAAGCAAGTACGTGACGAGACAAGACAAAAAAATTGATGAAAAGCTAACTATTACATACATTTACCCGGAAAGACTTGGAAACATACATGTTGTAAGTATATTTATAAAATATGTTTTATTTGCTTTCATTTCTCATATGAGGCTTTGTAATTATATTGATATAAAGTCGTTTCGTCAAGTATCTGGTTTTTATTCTCTTATTGCCTTCTGTACAAAGCTTAAAATGTATGCAGAAACATTTCAAGCACTAACTTAATTCTGAGAAAAAGAAGTATTAATAAGAAGTACTTACTTTAATTTTACCATCAGGATTTTGAACTTTCAACCAGCGTAAGCTATCATTACTGTACGACACATGATATGATATCACCCATTCCTGTGCGTTTGGATTGCCTTTTGTGATGACTCCGGTAAGATTAGTCGGTTCAAGAAAGTCCACCTGTAAGAAAGGAACTTTAAAATCAACTTTTCGGGATAAGAATTTTCGATTTGCATTGACGTTACAAAACTGACACTGGTTGTTGCTCTGCAGTAATTTGGAGATTCTTTACTGGGAATATAAAAGATTTCACTTGAGGACGAATGTAGCCGTAGATTCACCACTTAATTTTTATTTCTTAACAAAGCAATTCTCTAGATGCAATATCCGGCACGTGCTAGGAAGAACAAAGGTAAAGCGGAAAAATGGCTACTTATTTAGAAGAAACGTTAGATACAAAGTTTCAGTTCTCGAAAAATTGATCGGCTATAATATACCTGCATGGTTGTGCTTTATGTAAGATGGGATAAAACGAATTAAATTTGAAATGATGTCCCCCCCTAAAAAGTGATTATAAACAATTAATATTTTTAGAATAGAGAGAGGATGTACCTAAATTAAACTAAGAATTTAGAAGCTATTGCTAATTTAAGTTATAATTTTGATATATATATATTATCTTACATATCCCTCCTTTAAAGAGAAAAGACGCTTAGCGATAGAAAAGCCTTTTGAGAGGAAAAGCAGAAAAACGTAAGAAATATAATTTCGGAAAAAATCATAAAATTTTGATCTTACAATATTTTGAGGTATAGAAAAATGCGATTCTATGTATAAATATAAAAATGTAAAAATTGTAAGATGGAATATTGTTTTAATGAATATAAAAAAACCCTGCTGATTTAAGAAACTAAATCATTGCGATTAAAGATAATATGGGTAGTGTAATTAAAAAGTAAAATAATTAAAATATATTAGTGATAACTCAATATTATAATTAATAAATAATTGTATTTAAAGACAGAGTATGTTGAGAGAGTTCTGGTTTAAAAAAAGAGGCCTGGAATTACCTCTGTATAATTGTTCCTTTTATTCTTCTTATACGAGAAAATACTTGAATACTCTCAGCTTAAAAATATATAATTTTTTCATGCAGAATTGTTATATTTATTATTACTTATTATTATTATTGTTATATGATGGAATGTGGTTTTATTTTTTTTATATAATGAAATGTTTAGCTAGTTCACAAAGTTTACGTAAGGAATGGTAGGTTACGTAAGGTTAGTTAAAGTAGATAGGTCTAACAGATGGACACATCTGTATTTGATGAAAGCTCTGGCGCTTCCCAGATTTCAGTAAAATAGATCAGTAGAAGTGAAATAGTAAAAAGGAATCACAAATTCAGTTAGAATATTGTAAAATGTGTGATGATAATATTTAAATTATAATTTTTATTTACATATTTTTTATCTTACACACACACGCACTCGTGATACTATATTCAAAAGATAATAATTAAATCAGGAAAGATGGCTAATTAGATTACAATAAGAACACAAATTAGAAATGAAACAAGAATTAAAAAATTCAATAAAATAAAAATATAGTAACATAACAATTAATGGAAATCTCAAAAATCAAATATCAACTTAGAAATTTAAGCATCTCGATATATTTGGGAGCTAAAGTAAATACTTGATATAATTGAGAACTAAAGTAAGTAGATGCTCTGAAAGTTATCGATACATCTCTGTCTATATATATGTATAGATAGATATAAAGGTAATTAAGTATCGATAATTAATTCATTTTTATCATTGTATCATTTAACATATATGGGTATTTCGTCATTATCCTTTTACATTTCAAACCTATTACAACACATTAAGAGAAACTCATATTACTTTTCGTATATATTTATACATAGATGATGATGACGAATAAGTTTTAGAAAAAGTGGGAGTTAAACATATATAGTCCTCTAGTGTACAGAGAGGTAGACAGTGCTTCCAAGCCGATGGTAAATGGAGGCAGATGAGGACAGTCGAAGATGGATGATGAGACTTAATTAAAACATCATTTTAGAATTAATATCATGCTTAGCTGCAAAATCTGTGTTTCAGACAAGTGACTTGGACGGAATTTACTCCGTTGCATTTACTGAAGCCTGATAAAACTCTAAGAAACTGATGCTTTGAGATATATTATATTTTATAATTCATTTTTGATTACAGATTAAATAATTTTTCATGTTTTTCTTTAGTTATTTCTTATAGCTATGAAAATATGAATTTTTAAAATAAAAAATAATGTTGAAATATTGTAAAAGAAATAAAAATTCAATTAATATATTCAAAATATTAAATTAAAGATATTTAATAACATATACAGAAGAGAAAACATAAAACACCAAAGTTACTCAAACAGTTGAATTTAGATGAATTTCGAAAGAAAAATATATATTAAAAAATACACGTATTATAATTATAGATAAGTTGTTATGAATCATAATAGCGCAATACCATATTTTTGTATTTAAAAAAAATCAAGACTTAAAATTATTCCCATGGTATATTAAACAAAATATGTGATTTAAAATGAGATTTAAAATGAGTAACAATGAATTTTGTTTCGTCCGCAGAAAATTTACTATCATTTGAAAAATTAGAGATATCTCCTAATTTTTTGGTTATTTCGATTAATATATTGGTCATGTTCAGTATTATTTCTCTGCATAAAAACCAGTAGTCAACAAAGAAAGCTTTGTAATCATAATAAGTTAAAAAAATTAGTATTTTTAAAAGCGTGTCTTGACTAATACAGGAAAGGAGTTTAAAATTGCATAAGTAAAATAATGTTGATTTTAAAAGCCAAAACTGTATTTATGATTATAACGGTTATGATTTCGTTTAGGAAAATGTTTAAAAATATTATATAATATTTGTTTTAAAGATATTCTTATTAATAATATTCTCACTACTCTCTTTTAATTTTTCAAAACATGCTTACTATTTTATGCTAAATTAATTTATTGCAACTCCAAATTATTGCTTGTCTCAAGTTAGCCTATTCGTTGAACTTCTCTTTGATTCCGAATCAGCATCAGATGTTCTCTATTGTTCAAAATGAAATGTTCCTTTAACTGACTGCTTCTAGAACTTTTATTGCCATATTAATTTGGGCTAAAAAACTTTTAATTTGATAATCAAATCTTTTAATGTTTTAATTTTTTTAAAAATAAAAGCAATTGTTTGTCACGATTTTATTCAGCAATTGGTAACAATGTAATATTTACGTATAAAAATTTATGTGCAATTAAATGTGTTTATACAGGGTGGTTATAATTAGAGTGACCCTACTCAGACATAAGTAGAGACCTAAAAACTAATGGTTAAAATTTCGACCAACAGGTGAAAACTTGGCGCATAAAGAACAAAAAAAAAACTAGAAACATAAAAGTTTATCCAATGGCAGCATTTGCTTAATGTGCTTTGCACTTTTGTTGGCACATGCTCAAAGCGCGTTACTGCCCAGTAGAGATTAAAGGGTTTCTTGAAGAACTGCAGCAACATGGCACTTTCGGTTCAGGCAGAGTATGTATGTTTCCTCTATAAACGCAATCATTCAGGAATTCTCCGAACCAGAAGTCATAGGAATTCAAATCCGGAGAAGTGGGAGATTAGGTATTCGTAAGACGTTTGGCAATATCCTAGTATCTTTAAAATAAGCAAAAACCAGTTCTTTCATTTGTTGGTCAATATGGAGTGTTGTACCGTTTTGCATGAAAACAGTAGTCTCGAAGTTCTTTTCGTTCTTTTAATGCAGGATTGGCGTAGTAACAGGCAACTATGACGGTACACATTTGAAGGTCTTGGAAGGTACTCTCTTCAAGGAGAGAGGGGCCAAGAATGAAGCTAGCAATAAAATTGCACCAGTCACAAAACGTTCTGTGGTTCTGTGGTTAGCAAGAAGCTCTGGTAACCACAGAAACAGCAGTTTGCAGCTTTATTTGAAATCTGTTTCCATCTTCTTCCCGGCAACACACTAACTGCCCAGTTTCTTCAAATTTAGCAATGACCTTTTTCAAAACATTCTTTTACATAGTTCTTTCTCGTAAGCTTTTCAAACGTTATTATTCTTGCAGTGCAGCTAACCTACCAGCTTTAGTTAAAACTTCTACGGCTCTGATAAACAACTTGACCACTAAAATTTGATCTCTTATTTCTAAAAGCATAGGGGGAAGAACGATTTTACTGCATTGACTACTATCATTTTAAGGAGTTCCTAATTTGCGTAATATACTTTCTACACCGCATAAAAAGCGCCATCTAGTGATCGAAATTTGAACTCCATTTTACTGAAATTTTCTTTTCTCCATGGGCTATCATAGGACATGGATTCCATGTTTTAGTGAAAAACATCCACCAAAGCGGATTCTACAAAGGTCTGCGAACAGTCACTTTATTATAACTACCCTGTACGTAATACAAACTTTCATATGCATATATTTGTGTATATTTGTTTTACATGACTATATTTATGTATATTTGTTTTTTTTTATATATATATGTGTATCTAATTTTTCAGTACGTTTCAATATAAGAAACTGTATGCATATGACTGTTCATATCTTGTCAGGCGAATTGTTAACGAAATATTGTAGAAATGAAAATATCGAACTGCAAAACTCATCCATCTTTGCAGCATTGATCGAAGCATAGCTAAATATAGCGACTTTCTAAAATATCTATTATTTTTCAGAGCTAAGCAGTATGAGTCTAAGACTCTATGCGAATTTGAGGCTGAGATCCGTAAACGAGGAAATTCCTTTCAGTAAATAATTCATATGAGGAATTTCTTTGCGTTGTTCAATAGTCGTTACTAAAATCAGAATGAATTCAGGAAAGATTGAATCCTCTTTAAAGTTCAGTTTCTGTGCAATATTTGTTCTGCAAAACACCTGCGGTTTTTAATATTCTTGATTTCTATCACTCGTTTGGGAAAAAAATATAATGGCTTTTAAAAGCCGTAAGCCTTTTAAAGCCTTTTCTTCATAATGGCCCAGCAATATTGAAAGAAATGCATTAAAGCTGCAGTGTTTCAAAGAAACAACATACTTTATTATATTCACTGAATATTTTCCTGAATATTTATAGTAGATACTGCAAACATTTTAATTTAGTCATCTCATATGTGTCTATGTAGAATGCTTTTGTTTTTTACACGGAAACATTTTAACATCCTTTTGCTAATTTACAAACACCATGTCAAATTACTTAAAAAATTCTTACAAAAGGATTCTTACTAATGATGCTTTACAAACCTTAAGTCTATAAGCAAAGAACTTCTCATATTGAGATCTCCTGTTGTTTGGCGAGAAGCATGGCGAATGTTTTTGTAGTGCCACCACTAAATAGATCTCTGAATGCTAAGCTATCAGCAATTAAGTACTTAAAACAAGATTTGCTATTCTCGACCAGGATATTTAGCCCGTGTGATATCAATGTTTAAACGTAAATATTCTTCGTTTCTCCCACTTCTCTAACTGAAGTAACATTGTCAAACTCGAGAGTTTGAAAGAACCTAATTTTGTCTATTGCCGTTGCTTAAAACCACGTTAATTTAGCAAATATCAACACTGTATGATTCATTACGTAACTTGGCTTCACTTTTAAGTCTGAACATTTTTCAGATAGTATTCACACACACTAATTCGTTAATCAGATTTGATTAAAATGTAATATTATGGAAATTATATACCGCAATAAAGTGTTTCTGATCATATTTTGCAGGTGACCAAGCAGTAGCAGAGGACAAACGGTTTTTTGCTGGCGACATATCATCTGAGACGGATGAAGACGCATAAAGCTGGTAGTCCGTTATAAGTCCATTTTCAATACCCATTGGTTCATGGCAAGCTGAAATAAAAGTGGTATTTATTTTAGATTTTATGGGTGAAAAGCATCGAACATGATAAATAGAAGTAATTTAGTGATCTATAAAGATACATTTAGTCAGAGGTCAGTTTTGTCATAAAACAGGAACATTCGAAATTTTAAAGAGGTTTTAGATTTCGTTTTTAAAAATTTTATAAAATTTATAAATTTCGTGTTTAGCTGTTGCTAACAAATTTTGGAACGTTTATCACTGCTCCTAACTCTATGATAAGAAGGCACAGCTTATGCTGTTATTTCATATAGCAGAGGAGTATGTTCAAGATATGATTTCCTGATTAAATGCTATAGTATTTATGTTAATCAGAAAACTAGATAATTTACGGGGAGTAACAGATGTTCTAAAATTTACATTCATGAAAAAAAGTTACATTTTTAAAGTAAATCAACAAGTACTAGGAGAACAATAGGCATCATTTGAATTGATTCTGTGATATGAACATAGATTATTGAAGCGTTTACTGATATGTTTTAATACATATATCCAATTTTATACCATAATCTAATAGGAAAAACTTAATATACGATCTTTGTATGCCTTTCGTTTATATGTGGTCTTTGTATCTATAACGTTACGTGTGGCATTAATAGAAACTGCAGACAGTAAGTATATTTAATAAATTGGTGACCTTGTTGAAAAACATAAGAATGAAATCTCCTTAAGTCATCCATCCACGCTTCCAGATTATGTTGATTTTCGGTGAAGATGGTGGAGCTAAGAATATGATTGAGCAATAAAAACGACTTTTTGGTGGCAACAACTCCTTCTTGGTATCATCTGAGATGATAGAAGATGCAAAAGCTGGTGATCCAGTGAGGTTTCAAAACTCATTGGATCATGAAGAATATAAGTAACTGTATTAACATATTGTTACTTAACTAAGTTCTTAGAAAACGCTGTACTTCTTATATCTGGTTGCGTCAATGAAGGCGTCATTATGAAAGGATTTAGTATTTTCTGGCGGTATTTATCAAAATGCGCCCGTATTGAATGAGCACAAATTTGATAAATTTTTATGTTGAGATCTCCCATAGAGGGCGTTGTAGCACCCCTCAACTGTGAGAAAAGTTTCGGTTAGAGCGAGAATCGGCGTGGGTTTTGAGAATGTAGTGAATAGTTATGTAACACGTATTTGCTATGTAACTGTACTATGTAGAATAATGTACATAATTAAATCTGATTATTTAATATGTGGAGCAATTTTGAAGCATTGATGGACGATATTTAAAATGAGCCGTAAGGTTTGAAATATAAAGAAATACGAGAATGGGATTTGGATTGTTTTGGATCTCCTGACCCAACAGTTAACGTAAGATTAAAACCACTGAATATTTAAGAGTTTGATCTGTGGTCTATCCCAGACCATCGGGCTGACTGCGTGGTTGGTTTTTGTTGCTTTTCTCCATGTGTAACGTGAGCCAGTTTCTTTTACAAAGTTCTCCACGGAAGCATCTATATTCTTAGAGATATAACACTCATTTGCTTTACCGTATTCGAATAATTTAACAATCTGTTTCCCTTGAATTAGTTTAGCCTGTACACAGGAAGATATTGAATTTGAATATCATATTTGAAGCCAAATGGGTCTTCTCGACATCATAGTTATACTCTAGAACTCGAACTTATGGCATTATTTCCAAAGAATATTTGAAACATTTTCGACCTTTGAATTTTTAAGAATGAGTTTTTCAAAGAATGGTAAGGAGCGTATTTTTAAAAGAATTATCAGCAATTACCCGCGATCAAGGACTTGTGATATTGATTACTTCTATCTATACATTGCAGCTGAGAATTAATAACAATCAAGCTTCTCCTGTCATTTGGTTTTGAAAGTCTTTGGTTTTGAAAATTACTGCATTAAATGCAGTAGTGCTTATCTTAGAAATATAGTGCAGAAATAATTATGTTTTACCTAGGCATTCTTAAAATATATCAAGCATTAAGAAACACATGCCGTAAAAGCAAATCCTCGAAAACTTACGTAGTGGGTGGTAGCATCCGAGAATTTCAATTTGCATGCTTATCCAATTCTTCCATTTCGTGGGTTCTATTCTCAAGAATCTCGTGCGAATCATCGTTGGGAAATAGTTTGTTACCAAAGCAAAGGGATCGTAATTGGCAGAAAACTCCTGTAAGGAAATAATAAAGAAAAAATACTTTAACGTCAAAGCAATATTTTATGGAAATATTTTCAAAATCGATATTGAAACTTTTATTTTATTTCTCTGCTTAACGCTGATTTTTTTAATACCCTTTTTACATATTTTGTCATCAAATAATCACCGTCGAATTTTCATCTTTGCACTTTTGGATAGATAAACGATAATAGCTTTCTAAATGAAGATCTTTTTGAAGTTTCTAATTTAAAATATTGAATTTTGGCGATTGTTCAAATATTGTCATGCATTTGTAAACAAGATGATTTTTAAATCAACTGACGATGAAATCGGACTTCTAAATTAAGTAAAGTTTAAATGAACTGAATGTAAATTTATGCTATCAAATAGCTCAGTATGTAGGGGAGGGGAGAAAATGTTACTTATACTTAATTGCTACTCTGACTGGACTAAGTACCGTATTTATGCGAATCTAATGCGCCATCGAATCTAATGCGCATCCCCATTTTAAAACTTTAAATAATAAAAAAATTGTTTGTCGGTGAATGTAACGCGCATCAATGATATGAGGAATTTATTGAATCTTATTTTATACAACAATGGATTTGTATATAAACCATCAATTAATGGTATGATAATTTTATTTAAATTTAGATACCATATTTTATACAACAATGGATTTATACATAAAGTAGCAGAACATAGAATTAACCTATTAGTGGGTTATTGTCATGTGAAACAATCAATGTTAATTAGCACTACCGTATATACGGTACCTATCGTAAAATATGAACATGAAATAAATCGTAACATTTCTATCTAGCTAACAGTTTCTACAATCAGTGATTAATAGTAAACGTTTTTATTCACTAATGTTTTCATCACTGGAATCCTCGCAGCTCTCTTTGTCAGAAGCAGATTCATTTCTTCTTTCCTCATCATCGTCATCGTCATCCTCGGCGTTCCAGAGCTCGTCATCGTCACTGCCATTCAATGAATTTGAAATGCAGCATTTCTTGAAAGATTTCACAATCAGTGGTGCTTCGATGCTTTTCCAGGCAGCAGAAACCCAGTGTGCAACAATGTGCGGTGCAGCACGCTTAATTTTTTCCTGTCGGGGTCAATACACGGTTTGGCTGACAAAACCATTTTTCGTACTCCGCCTGAACGTACCCCTTAAAAGGTTTATTTATACTAACGTCCAGGGGTTGTAACACAGACGTCATCCCTCCAGGAATGATAACAAGATCGCTGCCTAGGCTGTGCATCTTCTTTATTACGTCGTCGGTGAGATGACCACGAAATGCGTCCAGACAAAGCATTGATGGTGGATTAGAGAGCCTACAGGGACGGCGTTTCCATACATTTCGGAGCCAATCAAGCATTAATGATTCCGTCATCCACCCCTTCTCTTGGTTTCGAATCAGGACATCATCTGGGAACAGCTTTTCATTCTTAGGGTTTTTAGGGCATGTTTTCCGTTTGAAGATTAAGAAAGGGGGAAGTTTGCACCCGTCTGCTGTTATTGCCAGCATCACTGTTACGCGTTGTTTTTCACATCCCGAAGTTTTGATGATAACTTCCTTAGTCCCCTTCTCCGTAATGGTGTAGTTACGAGGCATATCAAACCAAATTGGCATCTCGTCAGCGTTGCCAATTTGCCCCATTGAAAAATTCTTTTCCTTCCGAAGTGTGATGACATACCGCTGAAATGTTAGTAGTTTTCCCTCAAAATCTGCAGGAAGCTTTTGGCATATTGTTGTACGGCGTCTTAGAGATAAACCCATCCGCTTCATAAACCGATCCACCCATCCACGGCTAGCCTTAAACTCTTGTTTCGGTATTCCAAGAACTTCAGCCTCTCCTCTTTTGCTTTATTTCTTATGGTGTCACTAGTCACAGGTTGTCCATTCTTCCTCCTTTCACGTACAAATTCCAAAACTTTTTCTTCAATTTTAGGGTGTCTTCCTTTGCGAGGGCCAGTGAATTTCTTTCTACTAGCTTTAGTTGCAAACAGTGCCAATTTCTGTTGCCGCCACAAGCGAACATTGCTCTCAGCTACGTTGAACTCTCTCCCTGCCTTTCTATTGCCATTTCTTTCAGCATAAAGAATTACTTTACGTTTGAAAGTTTTGAAAGTGGGCAAACAGAGAAGAATGTCATATGACATTCTTCTCTGTTTGCCCTCCATTTCGTGACTACGTACTCTGCAGTTTGTATCCTCTATGCAATAATGTGTCAACGATAAATGTAACGGTAAATGTAGTCGAGAAATTTGGTTGACGTCATCGGCGAACTTTGAACTCGAATCTAATGCGCCATCGAATCTAATGCGCACCCCAATTTTGAATACTACATTTGTCCAAAAACGATGCGCATTAGATTCGCGTAAATACGGTATTTTTCTTTCCTTCAGAGACAGAATTTCTTTGCTATTCAACCTATCCCCAATCTGTTAAATAAAAATTATAAAATAAGATATATGTAAAAAGTGACTTTAAACAGATCGATTTTAGTGAAATGCGCTAAAAAATTTAAAAAAACATATAATTATCATAATATTCTTGGTACTATGTGACTAAAACTAAAATTGCGAAATTTTTGTATAAGAATTGTATTAAGACATCTACGGAATTTCAAGGAAAAATAGAAAGCAAAGAAATGGCATATATAAAACTTATATATTTAGTTTTGTTAAAATTTCCTTGACAATTTTGATTTAAAATCTTCCAGTTTTAGCAGCCCTACGATTTAATTTTTAGTTCCGTATACTCAAAAATATTATATGATAGCTAAAAGATGTTTTTTATTTTTTAATGCATTTTATTAAATCCAAGTAATTAAAAATTATCTATTATTATCGTATCTGTTATTAATTTAGTTAATCTTGCACTGTTTACTGATTAATTTGCAGTTTCTCATCGTCGTATTTATAACTAGATATACAGGGTGTTTCATAGATCATGGGACAAACTTGGAGGGGATATGGAGCGTACTAAAACATGCATTTTTTGTATAGGAATGTAGTGTCTAATGTGATGGGTTAAGGCAGGAACGGAACAAAAAAAAAAAAAAAAAAAAAAAAAAGACACAAGAGGAAAATGTGTTTATGTATAAAATCAACGCAAAGTGCTTCTTTGCAGCAATACAGTTTTCACAATAAATGTTCAAGAATGGGAACAGTAGGAACTAAAACTGTGATTGGCTGACACTGCAGCGGTAGAGGGCGGTAGTGAGCCGGACAAACCAAGATCCGATGCATCAGAGGATCATTCGCAACTCTGATGTCGAGCGTGATGGGTGAGTTTACGCACAGGGAAAACGCTGACATGCATCTCATGTATGGTGCTGCTAATGGGAATGGCAGAACAAGCGTATGCCGAAGCACAGGCGTATGCCGAAGCACACAATGTTCGAGAGGTTGCATCAGTCTCTGTATGAAAACTGGTCCTTTGAAGCCACCTCTGACAGTAGGAGTGGAAGAAGTGGTGCACGACAACATCGCACTGAAGAATCCATCTTGAATATTGTGCATGAATCACCTCAGACAAGTACAAGAGCTATTGCACGTCGTCTGCAGCTGAGTCATTCCACCGTTTGGAGAGTATTGCATGAAAATGGTTTGCACCCATACCATTTGCAAAGAGTTCAAGCCTTCAAGAGACAGATTACCTTCTTCGAGTTCATTTCTGTCTCATTGCTTCTTGCAGCAGTGTGTGGTGCAGGAGGATTTCCCATCGGATGGAGGAGGCAACTTTCTCACAGGACGGCATCTTCAATATCCACAACATGCACGTGTAGGCAACTCATAATCCACACGGGACAAGTCCACATGCATTCCAAACCCGCTTCTCCGGGAATTGTGTGGGCGGGTATTGTTAACGACTACCTCATAGGCTCATACCTCTTACCTGCACGTACAAATGGCTTATGTTATTATATTTTTCTGCAAGAGGTCCTATCGGAATTACTGCAGGATGTTCCGGCTGTCGTTCGTGATCGCATGTGGCTCCAGCATGATGGTGCACCAGCCCATAACCACGTGCGGGTCCGCAATTACTTAGATGGGTCATTTCCTGGCCGATGGATTTGCCGTGGTGGACCCGTTCGATGGCCACCGCGTTCGCCAGAATTATCCAGCTTGGAATTTTTTTTTTTTTTTTTTTTTTTTTTTTTTTGTGGGGCCATCTGAAGAACATCATTTACGAGATTCCCGTTGACCCACTGGAGGATCTCGTTGCACGACTATCCATTGCGGCTGCAAGCGTGCGCGAAATGCCTGTCGTTTTTTAAAATGTTCGTCAATCCTTTCTGCGACGTTACCAAGCATGTATTACTGATGGTGGTCGCAATTTTGAACATTTATTGTGAATACTGTATTGCTACAAAGAAGCACTTTGCTTTGATTTTGTACATAAACACATTTTCCTCTAGTGTCGTTTTTTTTTGTGTTCCTGCCTTAACCCGTCACTTTAGACCCTACATTCCTATAAAAAATGAATGTTTTAGTACGCTCCACCACCCCTCCATGTTTGACCTATGATCTGTGAAACACCCTGTATTAGAAATCGTAGTCTGAATATTTCAATTTGAAATATTTCAGATTTATATGATAACATCTTGCAAGATTTTATGTTAGGGTTAGCTCTGTTAGAGCAACTAGAGTTACTTATATAAAGACATAGTAGAAGTAAGAAGACGGACCAGAAGTAAGTAAGACAGAGTAGAAGTAAGTTACTTATAAAGATAGAGATAGTTATACAGGGTGATTCAGAACTCATCATCAATATTTGGTGGGGATTTAGGGAATAGGAAAAGAAGAAGATTTCACATAGTAATGCATGGGCGCATATGCCATGTAGTAAAGCAAAATGACCCCAGTTCAATGATGGAAAGAACACATAAAGAGGAAGTAGTAAGGAAAAAAAAATATTATCTTACATGTAACATTTCTTTGCATTAGTTTTACAGACTTACAAGAGGTGCTCGAACTGCTGACCATGTGCTAGAAT